AAGACGACATTTTGATGGTTGAATGAGTGACATTTGTCGTAAACTGTTATAATATCGATATGGGCTGTGACGTGAATACAACAGGTTGGCAGCACGTCAGATGAACTTCCACATCATACCACGTAAACGTCATATCATGTTTGCTCATACAGAAGCAATTGGATACATTATTAATGGTTTGAGTATATACTCAAACACAGAAAAACACAGAATGTAAACCATCAATAAAGAAAGATAAAGATTTGTAACAATGACACTTTCAACAACAGCAATAAACAGAACTCGGGACAAACGCTTTTCAAAAATTAGAACAAAAATCTGCATTAATTGATTAAACAACAATAAAAAAAATTCAATGAAGACTAAACGTGGAGTTTATTTGAGTATTTCAAAAAAAGCTTTACTTAGAATGTTGATAAGAAAACTGCTTTGAAGTTTAAAGAAAGCTGAAATTTTCGTTTAAACCCGGCCGATGATGCATCAGTTTATTCAAGGTTTCTTGTCATACTTAGAACGCATTTGAATTATCAAACTACTGGTTTATTTAGATTGTGCGTCACTAAGCTACAATTTGCGACACATTTAAAAAACACCTTAAAAAGTTTTATACTTCAGACTACATGAGTGAGTGTTGGTCAAAAGTCTACAAGTTAGATGTTTCATTAGTTCCCGGTGAAGTTATCGTTCGGTTTTGGTCGAAAATAACTGCTGTTGTAAATGCTTTTGCTGACTAATAGTTCCGTTTTTATATTTCCTTTCCAAATTCATTCTTGAATGATAGGTCTGATACTAAAACTTTATTAAATTTCTCGGAGAAAAAAAACGTTTTTTTTTTTTAAACTTAAAAATATTTTAAAAAGGTTTCTATTATGTTATCTATATCAGCAGTGTTTTCGGTATAACACCTTTACCAGCAGTCATAACTGTTGTCATGACAAAGTGCATCTGACTTTGTGAATACTGTAAACTGTCATCAAATACAAAGGTTGTGAGAAAACAGTAGACTTGACTCATATTGCTGATGCCAAAACTGATGATAACAATTGTTACGACATTTTCGGCAACAGTTTTGTACTCGTCGCTTAAAAAATTGTCAGCCGTAACGTACATACAGAATATTCCGCTGCATTTCAATTCTAAGATCTTTCGTATCGATGGTACAGCACTGTCTGTTACAACTGTGGGGGAATTTAAAATGACAATTTTAACTCTACGTCAGTTTTCATCGTTTCTTTGTCCCCCTCTGTCTGCCATAAACAGTTCTTAACAAATTTTATTAGATTAAATGGTAATTTGGTTGAGAAATGTGCATATACATCCGACTCGTGGTTAGTTTAATTTTTTCTGAACAGTATGTAATATTGGCTCAAAAAAAAAAAAAAAAAAAAAAAAAAAAAAAAAA